AAGAGCGAAACTCCGTCCCAAAAAAAAAAAAAAAAAATCTATATTTCAGTTCTTAGCTGCTGAAAACCGAACTTTGGAAATCCATTAAAAGTATAATGAGGCTGGGTGCGGTGGCTCATGCCTGTAATCCCGGCACTTTGGGAGGCCGAGGTGGGCAGATCACCTGAGGTCAAGAGTCCGAGACCAGCCTGGCCAACATGGTGAAACCCCGTCTCTAGTACAAATTCAAAAATTAGCCAGGCATGGTAGCTGGCGCCTGTAATCCCAGCTGCTCAGGAGGCTGAGGCAGGAGACTCATTTGAACCCGGGAGGCAGAGGTTGCACTGAGCCAAGATTGCACTATTGCACTCCAGCCTGGCTGGCAAGAGCAAAACTCCATCTCAAAAAATAAAAAGAAAATGATATAATGAATTCACACGTTGCTACTGTGTGTTTTAAATCTTAAGGTCACTTAAAGATGGCCTAATAATGCAAGAGCCTATTTCCTACGTGTTCACAGAGGAATGTGCCAGGGGCTGCGGGGTTCTCAAGGCACTGCCTGCCCCAGGTCAGGTACTTACCATGTGGTGTCTCCAGAGCTGGTGACGATCTGATTGTCATCCAGGAATCGGCAGCAGGACAGGTAACCTGGCAAAGAACAGGCCTAAGTGATGACCTGAATCCAGCAGGCCCTGCATCCAGTCTCATACACAGAGAAACCTGCTGGCCGGGTGAAAGCTCTATATCTAAGGTAAGACCAGCACTGTGCTAGTGACCTTTTGTTCCCGTCTGCACAGAGCAGAAGGTCCACACACACTGCTGGCGAGGGCGAGACCCTGGCCGGGCAGGACAGAGCATCCCACAGAAACCCACAGCTCCATGATGGGGGCAGGAACAGAAACCACACCTGTGAAACACACATCTTTCATTTGCTTTACTGTTTGACACATCAAAGGCTGGGGATCCCTTGTCTATTTACTCATTTGGGGGAGCTGACCCCAGTGCCCAGGAGGGCGATCCTCTAGACACCTGGAACGCAGCCTTAAAACAGACACCTCCTGCTCCCCAACAGCCCATGCTCCAGCCGGGACAGAGAATGAGAATCACTGAAAGAACACATCAGAAAATGAGTGCTAAGGAAAGGAAGAGGGCAAGGCAGGGCCTAACAAGATGGAAGCCAGGAGAGGAGCGGGGACGAGAGCAGACTCAGGGAAGAAGGATGCAAACAGAGGGCCCAGCCAGGGCAGGAGGCGGCAAGGCCACAGGGTCAGGTAGTAAGGGCCCGTGGGTTATAGAAGGGACAATGAGGGCAGCAAGAAAGCAGCATGGCAGCAGGACCTCAGACATGGGGGTGCTCTTGAATATGTGTGGATTTTTCTTGGGGACAGCGGCTGTAACACCCCCCCATCAGTGTGGGCACAATTCTGTGTCCCAGAGTATTCCCACCCACTCCCACTAGGAAAGAAGGAAGGGTCAGAGACTAGAGAGAGCGGATATGGTGGGGACACACCGAGATGTCCCCTCCTAAACAACTTCCAAAATATCCTAATATTTCCTGAATCTACAATATCCACACATGATGGCTGCATATTCACAAACTCTGGTTACCATTATTTCTTTTGTGCACTGATCACAGTTCTAGTATTTACTGTGGAACTAAAAGTATAGTGTGTGTGCCCAGGGCTGGTGACAGCCTGGCCCTAATCTGAAGATTCAGGGGTCCCAGTGGCACTGAGGATTCTCAAGATACCTGTTTCAATCTGGGTGTTTACTGAAATGCTTTCCTCCCCACTACACCCCAGGGAGTCATGAGACACTGCGTGAATCAGCAAACAAAAATAAAATGCACACAAAGAAGAAACCCATTGAGGGTTTTAATGTGGAAAGTATAAGATTACAGATAAAACAAAGCATTTATTTAACAAACATTATTTATTTATTTTTTTTTTGAGATGGAGTCTCACTCTGTCACCCAGGCTGGAGTGCAGTGGCACGATCTTGGCTCACTACAACCTCCGCCTCCTGGGTTCAAGCAATTCTCCTGTCTCAGCCTCCCAAGTAGCTAGGACTACA